ATAATTATTTATTAGAAGACATAAATGAACTTGATCCAGATGATGATGATGTTGAATTATATAATAAAAATGATATATCATCAATTTTGGATGCATTGAAAAGAGGAAAAGAAATTACAACTTTAATTTATTTAAGTCATAAAAGGCTAAGTCCTTTAATTCGCAGTGTATTAAATTATTTGGTAGAGATAAGTGACAAAAATGAGTTGAAGTCTTTAAAAAATTATTTAAATTACACTTTAATTAATTTACTGCATCTCCAAACGACCCCTTCTAATCTGATAGCAATTTTACTCCAGGAAAAATATACAAAAGTTGTTCCCAAAATAGTTTTAAAATATTTTAATGGCTGGCAAGGAAAAATAGATATTCAAATTCCAGAAAAAGCCAAGGGTACTCTTAAAATTTTACAAAACTTCTGGACAACAGAAGAAAATTATAAAAACATTTTAAAATCTGATTCATTTCCTAGTCTTAATTTTTTTCTTTTAAATATGTGCATATTTTATGTATCTAATTTTGCAAAGTTGGAAATTTTGGACACTAATTACGTTAATAGAACGCTAGAATTAATCAAGTTATTTTTAGAAGATGAAGGGCATAGAAAAAGTTTTTTGAAAACAGTTATGGAAACAATTTTTTATAATCCGTTGCTTTTAAAATATTTTTCACCTTTGAAAGCAATTAAAACAGTGTCAAAGCAAATTTGCACCAATTTTATTTACCAGAATGTAAAAATATTTAAACATGAAGTAATTAACATTGAACATATGGATAAGGGTTTTTTAGAAACTCTATTAAAACCTTACAGGCGTAAAGTATTGGTTTGTTTAGAAAAAGCGTTTGAAAAACCTAAAAAATTAGGTTCTGAAAAGTACGGAAATCTTTTGGACACAATCATAATTTTTGGCTTGAACGAAGAAGATTGTAAAGTTATTCTTAAAAGATGTTTGGAAGTGGACGAAAATTTTTTAGTATCTGAAGGTAACAATCAGTTATCCCTACTGTACCATTTGCTAGGATATTCATTGGAGTGTTTTCTTCAAGCATCTGTTAAAAAGACTAGCTTAGAACCCCTGGAAGGGGATATTATTAAATCATTGTCTAAAAAGCTGGCATTTTTAAACATAAGCGAAAACAATTTTAAAACAAGTAATCTTGCTGATTCCTTGAAAAATTATTTACAACAATTTCCTCATAGTTTTCAATTTGTTTCTAAAACGTTATTTGAAAGCTTATTAAAAAAGAATCAGTATTGTGCAGAAAATTCCCAATTAGCTGTAGTAATTTTGAAACATAAGAAAGATTATTTACCTCTTTTGGAAAGTAATTTGGACATTTTAAGTAGCAAAAAAGGTCTTATTTTATCACTTTTAGAAGCAGCAATTGAGCAAAACTGTGATGATAATTTNTTTTTACAGAAAAAGTGTTCGACTGTTTCATTGTATTTTTTTTAATACCTTTTAGGTACGAAACTCATTCTGACAAGTCGGATTTTTATACTTACAAGCCATTTTTGTTTGGTTCAGCTGCTGCATCACATTATTCAATACGTCAAAATCTTCAAAATGCTCTTTGGAGACAACCCAAGGTGGGAGATGTTTTAGATTTACTGGAAGAAAAGGTAGTCAATGATACAATAGAATATTTTTCTGTTTACACTGATTTAAACCAAACCATTGAAAATATTTCTGAGGAAATTGAAAACCCTAATGTTTACAATTTGGCGTTTTTGCTGCCCTTATTTAGTTCGTTACTGGCTCCTGAGAACGTAGTTCCTACGTATAAGTTTACTAGAAGTGGCGCCTTAAGCTTAACAGTTTTGGCACTATGTAGTAAAGTTAGAGAGACCCGTTTTGCAAGTTGCTACGTTTTGTACCTATTTTATACCCACTTGGAAGCCAAACCAGATAATAGAGACAAAATTTTATGGTTAAGATATGTCGAAGCGCTTTGCAAAGGCGCTGCAGCTTTCAATAACATTAAATTAAACAGTTTTGCTGCAATATTCTGGGCTAAAATGGCCCAAATTTTAACCATGCCCTTGCACCCCCTTTATTTATCTTCATCTTCATATTTAACTGCTAAAGAGACTCCTAATCTCTGCGGAATTCCCGAGTTGTATACATGGCTTCACGACTCCAGTGTTGGCTTTGAAGAACACCAAATTTTTATTTTAAAATTGCTAAAGACTGGTATGAAGACGAAGTTGGATTTTTCAATTGCTTTAAAGTCTATGGCATTCAAATTAATCATGGAACTTTGCAACAGTTGTGTTTCTAGAAAAAATGTTAGACTACATGTGCTAAATGTGATAGAGTCTGCTTGTAAAATAAACTTTGGAGCTCAAAAACTAGTCAGAAGTGTTGGACTTTTGTCGTGGCTGTTACATTTTACCCAAACGTTCACTTTGGATGATTACAGTTTTTTAGAAAGTGTTTTGAACATTCTTGTAGATATAGTGCGTGATGAAAAGGTAGATTTATTCGTTATAAATATAATATTGACTTTTGTTATTGATTCTGGATTGATTTCACGTTTAAGAACTAAATGTTTAGAAAATTTTTTGAATTTGTTATGTAAATGTGTGTCTAATGGATGTATCTTAAGTAAAAAGCAACTAAATGTTTTAATAGATCATGTTAATGATANGTGGTAAGTAAAATTAAACATATACACTTTAACTATTTATTTTGTCTTAAAAATGTACTAACTTGTAGAACAGTTAGCAAACAGACTAGAAGAAGAAAGTAGAGGAGATCCCATGCTTACAAGAGATGCCCAACTGTGTTATATATGTGCCGGAGATTTTGAAAGACTTGTAGCTTCGTGGACTGACTCTGCTAATAAATCTACTGAAAATCTTCAAGAGTTGGTTGAGCTTGTTACGTTCCTCCAAAAAGCTGTTGAACGTCAAGGAAGAACAGTCGAGGTAAACAATTTTTATTGACTGCAATATTGAATTGTATAATTGTTTACTTTTTCTATTTAGATAACAGGAAATCTGGCTTCACTTCTTTCCCATTACGCCATGCTTTTAGCTTCTCAGGGCCGTTTATCTACAGCCCTAAACTATCTCGGTACTTCCCAGAATCAGAAAATTAATGATCTTAGGGATCGCCTTCACGTCACCTTGGGCAAAAAGCCTATGTTAACAACACAAAGGTCTCGCCATTCTGTTTCTAGTTACGTAGGGGGCAGTACCCAAAACTTTGGAATGTATAACAGTACCCAGAATCAATTTACATCCTCCAACCAGTTTGGCAAACCAACACCAGCTGGTTTTGGTCAGTTCAACGCTGGCCTTCCAAATGCCGCAACTTCTAGTCAACCCTGGCAGCCCCAGGTGCCTGCACCAGCGCCCATGGGAGGCCCACCACCTAAGACTTATTCTCCTGCTCCTTCAGCTGCACCTCCGCAACCCCCAAGACCCGGTAGCGTTGGATCAGCTCATGGTAAGTCCTTAATTAATACCTAAAAACATTTGTTTTATTTTTTTTTGTCGTAGGTGACTCTGGTATTAGAACTCGAAGTAAATACGTGTTGGATCCTTCTGTAAACCCCAGCAATCCTTACATGACACCCAGCTCTTTTGGTACCAATCCTGTATCATCCCCAGCCCTTTTTAACACCAACAACTTCCAAACAGACGCTTTGGCTAATGCAAACAATAGTACGTTATATGGACAGCCTTCGTCTTATTCTGCTGCTGGACCAGTGCCTCAAAGTTCCCTTTTACCACCTTCGATGTCTTCCCCAGCAATTCCAGCACCTATTCCCGCACCTGCTTTAAATCCTTCTCCCCTGATTCCTTCGGGAGGTTATAATAATGCACCAATAAGTACTCAGCCAACGTTTCAAGCCATCGGTGGGGCTGGAGATCAAGCATTTGGTTATCAAGAGATTGCACAACCAGCAATCTCTGCAATGAACTCATTACCTTCCACTGTAGCCCCAGGATGGAACGATCCTCCCGTTTTACATAAAGCTTCAAGAATGCAGGTAAATTTCAAAGATTATTTCTGTTTTATTCTTATGCTGTTTACTTTCTTAATTCTGGAGTTGTCTATTATTATTAAAAAGAAAAAAAGAGGTTTTAGTTCCCAAATTCGATTTATGTTTTTCATTTCAAGTTCATACGAGAAGCCAGTATTATGTCAGCTGAACATTCAGGTGTGAAATTATGGAGAAAGGTATTTTTTAAGAAATGAAGTGTGCAACATGAAAAGGCACATTACAGTTTAATTTTTGCCTTAATTTATTGTTCTAATATCCTACAACGTTGATTGGTGTACAAATTAAAAAAAAAAAAATTATTACCCTCTTTCTTTAATAAAACATCAAAACCAAGTTTTACTAAAGCCCTGGTATAAAACACTAGGACTATAATAATGACTAATAATAAATTTAACATTATCCCTCGCCTGTTGTATTTGCTTTAAATGCCTCTCCTTAACTGACTAATGTGTTTTAAGATTGCCCTAGAAACAATAATATTCCCTAATGAGCATATTTTTGAATATATTTTCTTTTATTACAGCCAAAGAGAGCAGAACCCCTTAAACAGGACCCTATAACTCATCCACTGTATGGATCTTCTGCTCCTACTCATCAACCCTTTCCCTCGAATGAGCCACTAAACGCTTCCCAACCCTCCAATTCATATGCACCTATACCTAATGCTGCTCAAACGTATCCTAGTCTTCAACCGGGATTATACAACCCTCCTAATTCACAACCATCGCCTTTTGTTCAAAATTTTGAACCACAGCAGCAAAATCAAAACCAACAGCAGCCTTTTACACCCCAGCAACATCCGTTTATACCCCAGCAACAATCGTTTGCACCTCCAACGTCTACTTTTAACTCTCAAATGATTAATCAGACTGGTTTTAATCAGAATACGATGACCCCAACATTTGGGGATATACCACCTCAGCCACAGGTGGCCGAGGTTGCGTATGCGAAACCTGAACCCATTCAAAAACCTCCCGTTCCAGACGAACACCAAAAAATACAAATTGTTCTTGACGAACTCAGGAGTAGGTGTTTGTGTGTTGCCAATAATCCGGTGAGTTAAACGAATAAATAAAAATAATTATTATCATCCCCTCCTTAACTACTTTTTATATTTTTTCATTGAATAGCAAACGAAAAGAAAATTGGAAGAAGTGTCGAGGAAATTAGAAGTATTGTACGATCTTTTGAGGGACCAAAAGGTATGTATAATTCTCTTAGTACTTTACCTGTTAAATTAATTAAATAATATCCTTTTTTTTACATAAGTTATCACCAAACACATTAGAAGCACTACATGAAATGGTTCGATTAGTAGAATCTGGGGATTATATGGGTGGTTTACAGTTACATACCCAGCTGGTTTCTGGTCCTGATTTTTCCCAAATTGCGGGCTTTATGCCAGGTTTAAAGGTGCTATTGCAATGTGCTATTCAACTTCAAGTTTATATAAGATAATAGTAGTAATGGTATTGATACTAATTATGTATTAATAAAGTTCATGTAATAATAACTAACTGGCTTTTATAATAAATTATATTAGTCATTAGGCTAAAAATAAAAGAGAACTAGGGCTACAAAGCCTTATCAGTTACTCTGCTTGTACTCTGCAGACTATTCCTTCACTCAATATGCCTAGAAGTTACTTTGAAACAGTAAATATGGTGCACATTGTAAAATGAAAAGGTAATGACAATGAAAATGTATTCAATTTTGTAAACTAATCTAAAAATTTGATATCTTATTGTATTTAAAGTGAAATAGAGTTTCATATTTTATGAGAAATTGTTTTTATTATTAGGTTGCTTTGAACAATATTTAATATTTGTATCTAGTCAAATCAAAATATTTGAGCATAATACTTTAATAACAAAATAAAGTGAAAATTCAATACATCTACCCCCATGACAGATCGTTTTCCTATTTAATGATAAAAGGACAATTATAAACTTTTGGAAAAAAAATTGTATTTAAACATTGGAAATTGTACCAAATTTAAATTTAATTTATGCTATCAAAGCCAACATTTATTCTTTCATGTTGTCTAAATTCCACGTTTTTAAAAGAGAAATTTTGAAAAATGACAAGTATTTTATTAGGACTCTGATTGTCGCTTAAATTAGTCAATTTATTTTGAATTTCATATACGAAGTGACATCTAGCGATTAATAGTAAAACGTTGAAAAACCTACTTTACAGATTGCAACTATATTACAGATGCCTACTACGTTAGTTACTAAAGGCAATAATAATAACACTAAATTTTGCGCGGCAAATTGTCTGATTTCCCTAGCATCTTATGCTCTCCTAATACAAATTTACGATTTTCGAAGTTTCATTGTAACTTTTATTTCAAACCGTGTCCGGCGCATTCACCAAAATTTAACACCACTCAATAAGTGTACTATTTACAGTCTTGTTTTGTATTAAAAATAAAGTATTTTACGAATATTAACGATTAAAGGATTTTTACTAGTTTTTAAAGAAAATTTGGCAATTTCAATAAGCTTTTAGAATTACATTTGTGTTTATTATTATTAATGGCATATATTGTTTATACATCCACACTTTTAATTTTTACCAACTCTACAGGTTGTGA